AGGGTTGCCGACCCCTGCTATAGATGATAAACTGGAAAATATATTTGTAACATTGCTGTTAAATCTAAAATTGTACTGTTGGCTTGTTGTTCACTTCTTCCTCTTGTACTTGTAAGAAACATATGAATGTAAGATGTGCCAGAAGCTGAAAGAGAGGGCAACATTCTAAATGGTGTGATGTTTGGTCTACAGCCATCCCTTCCTGTTCTGTACACACTGTCCAGCCAAGCAACCCACGAAGCAGTGCACCTTCTCTGCAGGATGCTGGTGTTTGATCCGGTGAGGCATTCTGATATATATTGATTTACATTATGTTTTGTAAATGAATCCCTTTCACTAAGTAGCTTGTGTACAATAATACACATATGTCTTAATGTATACTCAATTACTCAGGTAAGGAAATCCCAAAAAGTTGATTCAACTTGCAGGTTGGGGAAAATCTGCTGTCTGGTGAGACTGAAGAAGTCACTTGGATGAGTGACAAAACGTTTCTCTCACTGAAAACGCTATGGCCAGATGAACAGAATCAACAACATGGGAATAATAAACATAGTTTGAACCATAATAATGAAAGCCCACTTCAATTACTTGAGCTCTCAAATCAGGAGCATCCTTAATGAGTTCAGGCCATCATTGATCCTGTAATTTCCATCATTGTCCAGTTTCATCAAACCCATCCTTGACACTGATGAAACCAGGTTACTGTGGCTACACACAGTCTGCTTTTAGATAATGATATGGTCATGTAAGTCTATTAGAGGTAGTATTAGTGTTCTCACAGTCCAGTAGGGATGTGACAGTTTAATCTGTGCCTTTTCTAAAAGGGCCATTCAGTGATTTTCACACCAGTCCTTTACTTATTGTTTCTTGCCTGTATTTGAAGAGTAACAGTTTAAAATTTAACACATTTAACTTTTGTATCTGGTCTCCAGTCAAAGAGGATTTCAGCCAAAGATGCCCTGGCTCATCCTTACCTAGACGAGGGTCGACTTCGCTACCACACGTGCATGTGCAAATGCTGCTATACCACATCCTCGGGTCGCGTGTACACCAGTGACTTTGAGCCCATCACTAACACCAAGTTTGATGATGGCTTTGAGAAGAATCTGAGCTCTGTAAGACAAGTCAAAGGTAAATTTGTTTGCTCTTTTTGTTTCTATTTGCAAGGCGCATAAACATCAACAAAAATAAACCCTGCAGCCCTGGCTTTGATAAATGAAAATAAGTTAATAGAACTGACAGACACTTGGGTTAAAAATTTAAAGTCTGCTTCTTCCTCACAAACATTTTAACCCAACTGTCATATTAACAATGGAGATCATTATCGATTCAATTTTATTGGCATAGCAGCAAATCGCAGCTGTCGCCCCAAGGTGCTTAATATTGTAAAGACTCTACAATAGTGCAAATCTAGCCTTGGGCTTGTTGTGTACCTTGAATTTGCTGCTTTACTGCTATTTTGATGAGATATCATTGCAGGAGCTCAGAGATTCCCAAGTATAAAGAGGGACATGCTGCTACAGCTTGAAATATTAGACTTTCAGGATAAAACGTTGAAACTCCTTGACTTCTGTGCATCCTGTTTTATCTCTTCTACTCCAATACCAGTGCTAAGGCAATGCTTTTCTTTTTTCTGAGTGGTAACACTGGTAACAAGACTGCAGCAAGATAATAAAGAAAAGAAAACATAATTCTGATCTTTATGTAAGCATGGGAAATATATTTAAAAAAAACTTCACAATGGCATTAGGATCATTAATAATGAATGATGATTTGCGTGTTTCTCTTACAGAAATTATCCATCAATTCATTTTGGAACAGCAAAAGGGAAGTAGAGTACCACTCTGCATCAATCCTCAATCAGCTGCTTTCAAAAGCTTCATCAGGTAGGAGACTCTGTAATTGTTAGCAGTATGAACACACACTAATACTAAATATTGTGTACACGAGTTACAGATACTGTACTGTGCCAAAGTCTTGATCCACCCTGCTTTCTGGGAGCCAGACCTTTTTTTTTCTTGAGCAACAGTCCTATAGACTTGCTGAAGGTCTTTCTAAAGGTTTTCTCTGGACATTGGTTGCTTTTTTGTCCCATTTTCAGGCCAGTTCTTGTACCTTTTGCCTTTTGGAGGAATGTTTCTTTTGCTAAGTGACCTGACTAACTGAATATATCAAGCAATACAAAGGCATCGGATGAACCAGTGTTAGACACTTAGTTACTAGCAAACTATTACCAAATGGGGAAAAACAACATTATCTTCAGCAGATGAATGATACAGGAACAACACAGGACATGATAGATGCATCTGTTGTTCACTTAATCTTCAACAGAAATGCAAGTCAAGGAGACATTTTAGGGAGAAAAGGCTAAAGTATGCTAAATTACACAAGAACTGGACTTAAAATCAGGAATAACAGGTCTTGTGAATGAATCCAAATTTGAAATTTATGCTTGAAATTGTCATCAGTATGCACAGAGAATGTCAGGAGAGAGATACAGTGAGTGTCTACAGAAATCTGACTTAGTCATGGTTTGGGGCTCCATATCAGCCTGTGCTGTTGGAGATCTTGTCAAATTTAATTGAATTATGACCACAGAAAAGTACCATCAGCATTTGATCCACTATGGTGGATCAAATGCTACACTACCATCTGGAAACACCTAATTGGCAATGACTTCTTTTTTAGCATGGCAAGGATCCCAAACACACTGCCAATGTCATAAAATCCTGGATGAACACACACATACACACACACTCACATAAAATCTGTAAAAGACCTTTTTCTGGTGTAATAAGCCATTTCCAGTGAGGCCACCATCACATTTAAAAAAACAGCAAATAAGTTAATGTCACGTGGTTAGTGGCCATATTCCATATTTTGCGCATCATTTTACAGATGAATGAACACAAATGTTTGTACATGAGGCTTAAAGAAGGTAATGATGATAAGCCTGTCTGAATTTTTAAACCTTCCCCACTTATCATGGAAAGAGTCAGACATCCTATTGAGAAGATCAGCAACATGCCATTGTGAACTAGCATGCATGTGGCTCCTCTAAGTTATACACTACTATCATTAACTCTAGCAGTTAACGTTGGTGGTATTAAACCTTTGTGCCAAACTAACAAATGTTTTACTCTTAACTAAATATTGCTAATATTAACTCCTTTCACTTAATGCCCTGTTTTTTGAACAGCTCCACAGTGGCTCAGCCCTCTGAAATGCCTCCATCTCCGCTGGTGTGGGAATAGCTACTGTTTTGTGTCGTTATTTTTCCTGACTGACAAGCTGCTAAACTGGGAACAAGAAAGGGTCTCAGTGTCTTCTATCATCTGTGTAGCATTTCACTGGAGAGCAGGACTCACAGGTCTGCTGGGTTTATGCTGAAAAATGGAATCAAAGAAAGGTCCACTGATAATTGCTTTATGGAAATTAATGACAGAAAAGCTCTGTATAATGCTTTGTACAGAATTTTTCTAAACAAACGGAGAACATACACACATCATATATATATATATCTATATATATATATATATAGATATATATATATTTGTGTGTATGTGTGTGTGTGTATATATAGTGTTTGTGCACAAATTATATATCAAATGTATATTTTACAAATTCTGCAATCACCATCTCATTAATTTAGAAAACTAGGCTACTTTGCACCCGTCATTTCTGTCATTTCTGCATTATTTCCAACCACACTTTTTATTCTGACAATCAACTGTAACATTATTATTATGGGCAACTGAAAATTTCCCATATTTTTGAATTTTTACAAATTTGCTCTCTGTAGCAGTATTGTTTTATTTATTTTTAATCATTTGTATTAAAAAGAAATGTCGCCTTGTGGCCCCACTGCATATTTGACAGTTTTCATTTATTCATTCTTTTGACAGAAGGGGTGCTAATTGATTTTGAACAATTTTGCCTATTTAACATCTGATAAAAAAAAAATCAAAACCTAAGACCAACATATTCTAAATAGCTCTATTGAAAACACAGGGAACAACCAAACATGGAGAGATTTGGATTTAAATACAGGCAACTGTATGATCCATCTATTTATGCTGTGAAAGTTTTTTTGTTTTACTTATGTCTTGTTCCAGCACATCAAAATTGTGATAGCTTGTCACACAGCCAATTTAGACAAAATGTTTCCTGATTAATTACTCATCATCTTCTCATAGCGTCCTTCTATGTGGAATTAGTTCACCTTTTGTCATTTGCTTACAAAACATACAGCATGGGATGTCTGTTGTCCAAGAAAGATACAAAAGTTTCCTCCCTTTTAGTAAGTTTTAGTTAAATTAAATTGCTACAGTGGATTTTGAAACTATCTGTAGTTTTCACAGAAAATTCATTGAAATGTTTAAAATGGGAAAATGGAAAATGCTTACAGGAAAGTAATTATTACTGATAATGTTTAAGTCAAGTTTTCCATTCACATATTAAGGTTTTTCATTCACACACTGCTGCAGTTGCCAGCCATATTGGATGTGATACAACAGCCAGTTGCTAGTGACTGGATGACAGTGGTCTCTGGAGTTTCATGGCTCCTGCTGGGTTAAATATGACAAAGAAAAGAAAATGCTGCACCAAAAACTTCCCAGTGATTGTTTTATTTGCTAGCAACCATATTGCTGTGGTTGCCTGTAGTTTTTCATATTTGTCTGTAAATACTTGCTTACTACTAGCTGAGCAGTAGGCAAATGGTTTATTGTCGTCACTGGCCGGGCCGGCGGTGTGGACTCACAAGTTTGTGAATGGGACAACTTGAGAATGAGGTGACATGGGAAGTTTAAAATTGATAGGTGCTGATATTAAAAGTTAGGCTCTCAGTTTTTTTGAAAATCTTGTAAATGCGATAACTTAGGATTTTGAATAAGGCAACATAGGATTTTGAAAATGTTACCACAGGTATCTAATAGGAGGCTGGCAGGTGGCACTGACAGTCACAAGTATTTTTTTCTATGTTTTGTCTACATGACAGTTTAACAGTCACACTTATTCATCCAGTGAATACATCGGTATCAGCGCTTTGAGTGCTCAGAAGAGTAGAAAAGCGCCATATAAGAACCAGTCCATTTACCATTTACCATCGGTAGCAGCTTGGGATTTAGTATCTTGCCCAAGGATACCTTGGCATGCAGGCTTGAGCAGTCAATGAAAGAACCACCAACCTTTCGAGTAATAGATAACCTACTCTACCTCCTAAGCTAAAACTACTACCTTCACAGCTTCACAGTAATAGTTGTGTTTAAATAGGCAAACTTTTTACTTTGAAGACAAACGGCCTCCTTTTCCAGTTTGTGTCGCACTTCTGGTTTCACTGCAGTGCAGACAGTAGGTGGAAAGTGTTTCTATAAGTTGGTCACATCCATTCAAACAAATATACAATATCATCATAGTGACCAAAGCAATCGTTAAGTTTTTGGGGAATACACATTTTCCCTTAGCAGGGGGGTCACCAACAGGTCTTTCAGCTAGTGTGACTGGGCCTTCAGTGATCATTTTCCCAGGGACTGCTGTCAACCTCCTACAACTCACGATCAGTCAGGGAACACCTTTTCCTTTATTACTGGTTGTAAACTAGTCTTTCGCCCTGTGTAAATAGATTATTAGCCAAATGTAAGACAATGTAGACCTTGAGTCTGCATTGTCACCATACACCATGATTGTCACATTTCCAAAATAGCAAATAAGTTAATTTAAAAAGTGGTCATATTTCATATTTTGCGCATCATTTTACAGATGAATGAACACAAATGTTTGTACATGAGGCCTAAAGAAGGTAATGACGATAAGCCTGTCTGAATTTGTAAACCTTTTCCACTTATCATGGAAAGAGTCAGACATCCTACTGAGAAGATCAGCAACACACCATTTCTGATTGGTAACATGAACTTGGGTAAAGTGTTCAGTTCCATTTAATTTCTGTGCAAAATTAAATGGAATTTGCAGTTGAAAATATATATGAAGAGATCATTTTGGTGGCGCTGGTGAATGCTCACTTGCATGCTTCATGAAGACAAGCTTTTTAATGAATAGGAAATAACTTTAAGAATGAATTAGCCTAAAACCCTGCTTCTAGACTAGACAATAAAATAAACTCCTCTGATGCATACAACGAGTGACTGTAATGATAAAAAGAACAAACAATTCTACAGTAATATTTCTACCCCCTCGTTTGACCAACCATATCAGTTATACTACTTATAACGAGTTCAGTAATCACATATAATTTAAGAAGTCCCATCAGACTGACTGAAAAACTGTTGTATAATGAAGGAATGTGTTTTATCTACATATGTGCCTCCTAAAGTTCCCCTCTTGGACATTCTCAGTCAAGGTGAGCTATTTTTTTTTTCCAAAAGAGTCTGAAGAGAATTATTTCTTATTAAAAATAACCTAGAAGCTTGCACTGAGCTGAAATATATCAGGTTTCCATTGTTCTCTGTAACCTTTGCTGGACTTGCTGTGTACTGTACACTTTCTGCACTGAAACAGAGCTGATGCAAGTCCGAGTGTTTATGGTTCTTCATAGTCTGGGTCCTATTTAAGTGGACTTGGCTATTCATTATTTTCCATGAGCACATTAAAAGTATAGCTTTTCTGTTGGGACATTAGCAAGCTCACAAGTCTCACAAGTGAGATTGTAAGTTAATCTAACCAAAGCCATGTGAGCCACATTTTTTATCCTACCTTTTAACATCCTTACCCTGCCAGCAAGAAGAAAAGAGCAGAGGGTAAATACTGTCATGTAATTAACTTTAACAGTTAACAAACACATTGGCACTTTTTAAAAAGTTTTTGCAGTCAAGAAATTGTCATTGTCATCAATAGGCTGTTGTCTGCAGCAAGACTGCAATATGACAAGGTCTGGTGACAATACAATAACAAAATGCAAAATACATTTCAGAGACTTCATGTCAGAAATGGCATGAATATATATATGAATTGGGTCAATACAGTAAAAAGAAAATGTGCAGAAAAATAATTTAAATTTAAATTTTTTGGTGAGCCACTGACTTTTTGGGTGGTTGTTGGTTAGCCAAAGCAAAGCGTTGTTTGTGTGTTATCACATATAGATGGTTGGAATGGAACAGCAACGGAAGAATCAGACTTAGACTGGGAAATACATATTCAAAGAACTAAAGTCATAGTGAGCTAAAGTAGCTTTATTCTGGTGAGAAGAAAGCTTTTTCATTAGAAGGACCAATCGGAACCTGTCTAAATACAAAGTAACTGATCTGGTGAAAATGAGTGACTGGCAGTTAAACCAGCAGTATATTTTGTTTTAACCTTGTTCTTTCTACTTGAATCTGTCATCACATACTATAGACATTCTTCAAGAATTGTACTGAGCAGCTCTTCTCAGACAGGAGAAAAGTAGCACATGAACATCTCAAAAATGACATGGTCTTTTCTACATGTTTTTCCCTAGATGGTAATCCAGTGCAAATATGTGCCCCTGCTCTTTCTCATGTGTGTACACTGTCTTCAGGAGAAACAAAGTTTTTGACGTAATTTATTTAATATATTTTTAGACTTGTTATCAATTTCTGTTCTTGTGTCCTATGGTATGCATTCTTTTCACACCTCAGAAAATAACTATGTATATATATGTTATATAGAGAAGCAAATCTACAACAACCTACAAAAAAACACTGTATAGGGATTGTATTAGCCTGTACATTTCTAAGGCTGTGAAATTTTTTTTTAAAACTTGCATACAAATGTATATATTTTTCTTGATTTCTACCCTGCAACTAGGATGTGGACAGCAAATCCTGTAACAATTAAAAGAAATGCAGTCATCTTAACTATAACTTGTGTGTACAGCAGTTGTAGATATGTCTAAGGAAAATGCATTTTTTGTTATTATTTTTAATTATTTTGTCACGGCAACACTGTGAATATGTATATTAAGAATTCACCGTGTTGGTCTCTACCTCTTGAGCTCAATAACTTGGCATTGTTTACCTCCACACATTTCTGATCATGTGGGGATGAAATAAAAAAACAATAACAAAAAAACACTTGAATGTCCATTCATGCTTTTATACCGAAATAATAAAATATTCTGCCCCTCCACATACATCTTCCGACAGACCTTTCTTGCACCCTGTAATACAAAACCTACCAGTAGCCAAGGGTTACCTGACTGTTAGATGTTCTGACCATGATGGTTGCATTCAAAGCTCAGTGTCAGGGACAGCAGTGTCAGCAGTTGAGGTTCCATCATCCATAATTTAACTAAGAGGTGCCCTTATGCCCTGTAAAATCTAATTAGCTCCCAGAACTAAAGTAAAGCTCACTTAAGATAACTAAGGACAGCTCATTCATTGCGAGTACACAGTACTAAGAATAACTTGATATTTTTGAGTGAGCAATACTAATTGTTTACCCCACTGACAAACATTTCAAGTTCTACTAAGTTAAAAAAAAGAAATTGTGGTGACTTACTATTTTTAATTTTCCTTACATACAAATAAATGCAGCTAAATCACATTATGTTTTATCATCCTTAAACTTAAGAGATTTCTAGTACAAGTATGATTCAAAAACAAAAATTTAAAGCACTTGCAATGCAGTTAAAATTATCCCAGCCTTTTTTTTCCAAATGCAAAAAAGTATGTCAGCCAACATACTGGACACTGTTATGTTTAACAACAAACAAGTATATTCCCATTCCCCCATTCGATTTTAAATATTAGTACAATTAAATTGTATGTTTATTTGTTAAGACAATTTAAACCTTTAATAACCTTACACTGAGACAAATTCTCAGATTTAATTATTCTGAAACTAAGTTAAAGCTTCCCATAACTTTGTATTGCAAGTTACATTGCTGATATAATCAGGAAAAAATGTATTTATTGTTCAGCTCAAACAACACATTTGTTTTGCATTCAAACACAGGAGCTTTGTGTCTTGTAACATTTTAAGGATGGTTTGTTTCCATTCCTGGCATTACTGCCTGAATGACTGCCATGGATTTAGACGATCCAAATGTAAGTGCCTCAATGAAGTCTTTGACAACTTCCCTTAAGTACAGTGGCAGTGGATGTGGGTTGTAAGTGCAATGACCTCAAACCTGCAGGTGACCATCTTCACTGACCACACCTTCTGTGACGGAGGGCTTATCACTACTGGTGTCCTGGAAGGAAACAATTGTATTATTGTATGGTCTACCTTACAATATAAAGCACCTTGAGGCAACTGTTGTTGTGATTTTGCACTGTATAAATAAAATTGAATTGAATTTAGAACACCAACTTATTTGGCTTTTTAAAAAATGTATTTCTGCATTTCCTATAGAACAGATCTCAAGTTAGACAAACTAGCTGTGTGATTACATTATTAGTAAAAAAAATACTGTAAATTTGATATAAACAATTGTGGCACCTCAACTTGCTTCTTTCGATGTGGACGAGTAGCAACTCTACTCTACCCCTCATGAATGACTCTTCACCACAACAGACTGGTATAGCGTCCACATCACTGCAGCTGCAGCAACATCCGTCTGTCGATCTCTCATTCCTCTCTTCGTTCACTCGTGAACAAGACCCTGCGATAAATAAACTCCTTCAACCGGGGCAGCAACTCATCCCTGATGCAGAGTAGGCACTTCACCCTTTTCAGCTGAGGACCATGGCCACAGATTTTGAGGGGATGATGTAGGTAGAGTGTTCGCCCCATGATCGGAAGGCCAGGGGTTCAAATCCACCGAATTACTAGCCTGAGGTACCCCTGAGCAAGGTACTGTCTCTACACACTGCTCCCCTGGCGCTGGATTGATGGCTGCCCACTGCTTCACTGAGTGAATGGGTTAAATGCAGAGGACTAATTTCCTACTGGATTAATAAAGTATGCATTGTACATTGTCATTCCCACCATTCCACACTCAGCCATCAACTGATGTCTAACCAATCCTGACAGTACCCCTCTTCAACTTGATGTGACGACAGGCACCAACCATCTTGCAGCCTCAGCTCCTTGCAGGAGCCGCAACATTGCCCATTCTAATTTAATGTTCCCAGCTTCCTTCAGAATGCTTTCAGGTGTGCTAGGTCTGTCTGGCATGCGCCCCTGGCACCTGATCCAACTCACCACAAGGTGAAAGATCAGTAAAAGATTAAATTTCCCAAGCTAAAGCACAAATCAAAATTGAAGTACAACAGGTTGGTTTAAAGTATGATTAAAGTTTAGCACGATCAATGATGATTATTAATATTTTGGAAAACCAAAACACTTACTACTCAGTTGATGTCTTCTTGCAAGTGTTTGATGTAATGTGGGGAGTGCTGGTCCAGAGCCTCAAAGAAAGCAAGCAGAGGGAGAAAAAAAAGAAAATTGTTTGGAAGCTGATATTGCTTCTTATTGACTTTGCAACCATTATAGCTTAAAATATAGAAACACAATGTACACCTCATACTAACTAATTAGACTAGCACATATACTTATATAATAATAGAAAAAAATAGTCATTTAAAACACTATCTACTACTATGTCTGATGTGTGGTATTGCCAATGTCAGTTTAGGCCTAAAGAGATGTGTGTTATAAAAATAAAAAAAAGAGACCACCTAAATTAAATGAAATCATTACATGCTTGTTAAGAGCTAACTTCCAATATATAGTTTCTAAAAAGCACAATAACCATTGTATGTATATTTATATTTAACATAGGCTACCCCAAAATGTTTCTGATGATTCAATTGTAGAGTTTAACTAATTTGTTGAGAAGAAGCTAAATTACTTTATTTTCAGCTATAAAGCCCAATTAGATTGTGGGTTTATCTGGTTTATAGCTTTTGAATTTAACAACAAAACATGAATCTAAAATATTTTTTTTACAAAACAAGTACTATTAAAACTAACAAATACTAGTATTATTTAAAATGAAATTAAACAGAAATGTTGGTTAAATGTAAAAACAGCTTGCTAAAGAATGGCTAGATTTGACATTAACAGATGCCACAGATATTCAAAAGCAGCAACAAAGCATTAGAATAAATGCAGTGTCTAAGAATATACAGTTAATATGTTATAAAAGTTCATATGAATTAAAAACAAGCCGAACCCCTAAGGGATGCACCCTCTGGAAATGTTTAATCTTGGCTTCTGCAACGCTTACTTTTCTATTTCAAATGAGCAACAGTAAATTTGCTCAGTCTTTTATATAAGGCTTTTAAAGCTGTGGGGTTAATTTTTTAACCAACATGAGCTGAGAGGCAGCAGTGAGCATCGGTGATACAAAAGCTAGGCTAACACTGGCTAGCTAGCAAGTTCATAAACCAAAGTGCTAAACTGCAAGAAAGCACAAAAACAGTTTGAATGAGAATAAACATTTACTCACTAAATCAGTGGTGATACGCTGATTGACATATAAGAAATGTCAACAATACAGGTTTGCTCAGCATATTTCAGAGAAAAAAGGCCATGCTATGAACATGTGGACTGATCTGTGCAAGGGATGAGGAAAGCAGTGACATGGCATTTTCAAACCATATCATTTTATCCTTCCGCTGAAGAGAGACTGCCTCCAGACAGGAAGAAATAAAAGCATGGATGACTGTTTCGAGGTGCCTTGAAAGAAAAGATTTCACTCTTGCCAGTTGCCTTAAATGATAAAAACTGGACTGCACCACTGCTCTAATTTGACTGTCCAATTTAAAATCCCTGTCCAACTTAAAACCAAGGTTCAGTAATAACAGGTTTAAAATAAACTTCCAGGGGTCCCAAATCAACAGAGGACTCACAGTGCCCACTAGGTCCAAACACCAACACCTCTGTTTTCTTTTCATTAAAATTTTAAAAGTTTAAAGCCAACCACACTTTAATGTCATCTAGACATGCCAAAAGAGGTTTAATGGCGATGCCATCCTTCTGCTTTAGTGGCAAATAAATTTGGCATTCATCAGCATAACAATGAAAAGCAATCCCTTCCTGTCTAAGGATGGAACCCAGAGGCAATAAATGCAATAATTATTGTTAATAATAAATAATAATGAAATAAAAGAAAAGAAAATTACCATACCATATGGTTTCATTTTCAATTTTGAGGGCATTTGTATGAGCTAAGATGCAGTCTCTCAATCTAGTCCTTTGTTTTTGTCTAAAAACAAAAAGCAAATCAAAAATTGATTAACTAATTAATACTTTTAGTTGTACTAAGCACAACTGGATGACTTATTTTTTATATACAAAGGTCCAAAAGTAGTATAAACTGTCAGATAATGAAGTAAAATATAAAGCATAGTGAAGCAACAATAGAGAGCGGTGTAAAAAGGGAAGCTCAAGTAAAGTAGGTAACTGTGAATTTAACCTACTTAAGTTATTATTTATTAGATCTTTTATTAGATATTTGCACACAAAGAAGGCAACAGCACCACAAAAACATTCAGGGGGTTTTGTGACTCGAATTAACTGAGGTGACAAAACAAAAATCTGTGGACTGAATGAATAAAATACAGAATCTCTATGCACCAATGGCACACAGTACAATAATATATTTTGAGATTGTATATGAAATATCTAGGAGTATACCCATCCAAGGTGCAAAAAGTTTGTCATATTATATAGATAGCACAGCATGGGGATTTAAAAAGAATGGGCCTGCAGGTCAGAAGTGGATGCAGTTTGGTCCACTCAGCTTTGCTAAGTGTGACAATTGCAGAGAAGTGATTATTCAGTTTTCAGAAAACATGATGACACCATTACTACACAGGAGATGAGTAATTTGTGATTTTACAACTACAAGGACGTATAATACTGCTGTTTTGTTGCAAATCTGGTGTTCAGTGTCCAAAAATCACATTATATGATCAAATCAAAAGGGAGGCTGCCCATAACCAAGCAGGCCTGAATCCAGACGAAGACATTGTCTTCAGTCACATCTTCATCAGCTGTTAAATCTTTACTTTCTTTAAAGTTAAGCTCTGTCCACAGGATGGCCTTGGTCACTTCTATTTTTGTTCATTTCCATCACAAGTAAACATAATGTGTTCTCTCAGAAATCTGTAAAATATAGCAAATGTCATAAAACACAATGCAATGCAAACCACAATTAATTTTGTAAATTGTCTATATTTATATGCTAGAACATCTCATTAACAACATAAATAATGACTTGAGCTTGGCAAGAAGACAATTCTTCAGCCAGAAAGGAGTATAAAAGTGAAGTGAGACAGCCATCACAAATAGTATGTTTTAAACGTGGTCTTTAATATGAATATAATTTTGTCAAAAAAATAAATGTATGTTGTTAAAAAAATTGTTAGCAATTAACAATTTAAGATATATTGTTCATTATCACCAGGCTGTCACCTGGTAAGAATGAACCACCAGAGCATTTAATCACAAGAATACATTGTAGACATTATGTATACAAAGACATAATGAGGGGAGCAGTCCATGAAGGACTTAATATACCTTGGTCAATGGACCTAAATCTTCAGAGAGTTCTCTTGTGAAGTACCTAGATTCCGTGCAGCATTCACTGTGGCCAGTAGGGTACTACAAGACAAACCCAGAGTCAAATCTAGATTCCTTTTGATTTTTGAATGCACTTGAACTGAATTGAATTAAAGATAAACTGTTGAACTGGGCAGCCTACTAGCAACTTCAAATAATGTCAATCCAAAGACAGTGAATCATTGAAATCATATAAATAAGTATCTTTTATCTATCTATCTATCTATCTATCTATCTATCTAGATAGATAGATAGATAGATCTATCTATCTATCGATAGATAGATAGATAGATCGATAGATCTATCTATCTATAGATAGATCTATCTATCTATCTATCGATAGATAGATAGATCGATAGATCTATCTATCTATCTATATAGATCTATCTATCTATAGATAGATCTATCTATATATATATAGATAGATCTATCTATATATATATATAGATAGATAGATCTATCTATAGATAGATAGATCTGTGCGGGACCTGGAACAAAGGCTACCAACTGATTTTAAAATACGCAATAAATATTCAATAAATATTCAATAAATAATTAAACTTCTTGTGTGCAAATGTTCTTCATATGCAAATTTATGCTTACAGTGCGATGCTAAATAAAGTGCTAGATAAGGTGCTTTTAATAAAGTGAAAGGTGTGCTCCTAAAGTGCTATACAAATTATAATATAAACAGTAGTAAGGGAGTCCTCTTCCTTACAGAGGCCAATGACTAGGGAGTGATAGAACCACTATCCGGGATGAAATGACAAAGATCCATGAGTACATCAGGAAGATGGCAACAACTGATCGTCTGCTTAGTGAATACCTCAGGCAGCAGAAACCCGAGACAGAAGACAAGCAAGCACAAGAATCATCATAGAAAAACATGCCCCTGCATGGTATGTACCACTAGCAGATAGAAAATATAGCTGATATTGATATTGAAATATAGCTTATTTGAGGAGGACTGTAGAAAGAGGTCTAATACACATGGATGCTTTGATTGAAGCCCTTAATGAAGTTAACTCACGAAGATTGGAGATAACTAGTTTGAAAATGTATCTGCAGTATACTTATTCAAGTAACCATCTGCATTAATAATACCTCTACAGATGGTTATGAATAATTTTTGTCTAATGGTTAAAAATTTATTTGTGAAGAAATTCATGGAATGCTTGGCTGACTCTTGGTGACCCTGGCTACAGTGCTGAAAAGAAAGCTGGGGTTGTTCTCATTTATTTTTCAATCAGTGATGAATGAGATGCCACAGCTTTACAGAAGGCTTTTCTCTAGTAGAGCAAACTATGGTTCCAGGCTATCTAAAGATCTTGCGGGACACCATTTCAACTCAAGCTTACTTACATCTACTTTCAAGCGCATATTTGAGAGTTAGAACAGTTGTTTCAGTGCAAAAGAAGAATAAAATTAAAGTTAACAAAAAAGAATGTATATAAACAGAAAAAAATATAGGATGTATATACAAATGTGTCCATAACAGCAAATACAATTGTTTTCATGTTGATATAAATATCAATTGTAACTGCAGTTGTAAACGTGAGATGACTAAAGGGAGGGAGAGTACCACTGAATATCATTTAAATTCAGATCCTTCTGCATTTCCTGTTAAAGTAAGGAATTTCTCAGTAGTGATACATTTAGTCTCCAATACTTGAAATGCTCATCTGTTCCCAAGCTTATTTTGTGTGTTACGGTAAATTTCGAAGTAAATTCTCCTGGGATACATGCGACAAAAAAAACCAAACAAAAAAAAAAAAATTGCTTTCTCTGGGATGACAGTACAACTACCAGTGTTTCTCCCTCACCCCCCAAAATGGCTTACTTTTTCTGGATATGTGTTCTTTGTCTACAGGTAGTCTATTCAGTTCTTGTCCACTTTTAGAGTTAAAGCCTGTCTGTATTAGAATTATCCCTTTACATTACTCAGCCAAAAGAGAAGTGAGTTTTTGAAAGAATTGTGGGTAACCTTTGTTAGGTACATATAGGTTAAATGTAGCCACTCTTACATTCTCTACTGAGTCCACTATCATACCAAAGTGGTCTTTATTGTCTTTGACCAGATCCTTCACTTTGCCAGTATACTGATTTGTTAAAAGGAAATACATCAGTAGATAATCTAATCCAAATACACAAAATCATGGGGTTTCTAAGATGGCATAAGAAATTATAATATTAAGAAAATAATTTTGGTAAATATATTAATATTTTCATGTGTTAGAATGTTACAGGGCGTGGTCTGTGGCACCGCTGCGGGGAGGCTCACACACCGGAGCGGCATCAGCTTACCACACCTTCCCTGCATTAAAGTCTGTACTGGATCCTGGGTGTTTGTTGTTGTTGTTGGGGTGTGTGGCTGGCAGCTGAAAAACTGCAGCCGTGTGCGTGTAGTTACAACAACCGTAATAAAGAAAAGTGTTAAAAGTGTGCAATATGTGGTCAGGTCTGCCATGTGTTGTCTACATAGAACCAAAAATTATTTTAGACGCATTAGAGGTTTAACAGAAAATGCTCTAAAATTTTGACTAACGGGAACATTTGAGGAACATTTGAATAACTTAGTCAAGTTTGTGGACACAAACTTAAGTAGAGTAGGTCCTGAAAATGAAAAATGTTCATATTTAGTTAATCTACTGGAATTTTTGTTTTGTTCAATGCAATAAAAAAGTTAAATGACAACAGCATTTTCTTTAATTGATGCATATCCATGCATCTACTTTGGGCAACTAAGGTGTGAGTGTGTGAATGTTGAAAAGTGTTTAGGCATAGTTGCATGAATGTGTGTGTGATTGGGTGAATGAGGGACAATGTTGATATAAATATCACAGGCACAATGTGAGTAGGGTCTGTTAAACATGTATTGCAAGCAAAATTGCACATTTAGAAACATCTAAATATTCACAAAGCATTACTAGCTTTGTGAATCCCATTAAATACCACCTTTCTAGACATTATGATGACTCAACATTTTACACTGCATGCCATGTTCTCACATATTCATGTCTAACTGCAGTAAAACAGTGAGGTCCTACCTGTATCCTTACGGTTTCTGGCATTTCTGGGACATAACCTGAGTGGAAACCAGAGTCAGCCTCCTCTCTGTCCTGATTATACTTTGTGGGTTTTCTTAGAGGAGCGTCCTCCCAGTTCTTTATGCAGTGGTGAGAACAGTCTTCATGGAATAACAGAGGAGAAATGCCTAACTGCAGGAGAACAGAAAGCAGTTCACCCCTTACACACTACGTGTTATACTATATTTGTGTGACTGTATTGATATGATTGTACTTGCCTCTCTGTAAAAGCCTCTTCCTGGAATAGATATAGCTGTAAGCGAGACTTTATCCCCACTCTGTCTAATCTTTCTAACAATGTCTTCATGCTCCATGGACTCAATAGGTTCCCCATTGACAGCAAGCAGCAGCTCTCCATCCTCCATTCCTGCACCCTGAGCTGGACTCCCCACGTCCACTTCTCTCAGCACATGAACTGCAGGGTCACAGAAGATTATTATTAGATTTATTACTAATGTTTCCTGAAATATATTTATATATTCCTGACTTTGAGAAATATATGAATTGATTACATCTGGATTACATCTTGATATACTTTGTATAGATAGTTAAGCCTGGGCAAGGCTTAGCTCCATCTTCCAAACAGCCTGTCTCACCCACCCAGCAGTGAATTACAGTAAAGGAAACAAAAGTATGACTTCTAATTCTGATTAGTTGGGCAGCTGACAGTCTGCCCTCCAAGTGTCCCACTGCACACTATCCTAATGAGATCGAAGATCAGTCATCAGAGGCACAAAGACAAGCAACTTTTTTATAAAGCACTTTGGTTAGTGTTTTCTGTTTTTAAAGTGTTGAACGTAAGAATAAAAGCATTACAATAATTGCAATATTAAATAAACGTACCGGACAAAATAAAAGCATGAATAACAGTACAAAACACAATTAAACATGAGTTAATAAAATCAACAGTGGGTTGAAAGCCAAGTAGAAGTGGGTCTTAACAAGTCAGTCTAATGTGTAATTTCCACAATTTGTGAGCTGCAATGGGAAAAGACCCATCCCTCTTGAACGTCCACTGTGTACTTGCAGATGGTGAACTGAACTAAGGGAACAGGACGGGAATACAAGTGCATTAGCTCAGAGAAGTAGGATGAATTTAAGGGCTTTAAGAACCAGAGTAATATAGTCTCTCTTATAAGTTCCAGTTAAAAGTCATGTGGCACCAGCTGCAGGGAGGACTGGCTAGCACCAAATGGACTGGTTCTTGTATAGCGATGTTCTACTCTTTGTAAGCATTCAAAACCCTATAGATGGCCCTGGTAGATGACCTGCTCTACCTCCTGTGCTACAGCAACCTCCCAAACACAAAGAGATGCAGTAATCCAACCGAGCTGTGATAAAAGCATTATTTTAAAGTGATCTTTCAACACAATGTTTTTGTTTTATCTTTATCAGTTACCTCAGCTGAAAAAAACTGCATTTCACCACTGCACAGAAATCCACAGTATTTTTAGACTGACAGTAATTTTAGACTGTCACATCTAAAATTACTGTCTAGGGTCCATGTGTACAGGAAAGGACCCAACAGTGCAACAGCAGGACCAAATACAATAACCTATGTTTTCATTAAAATTCAGGAAGTTCAGAGCTGTCAGTGCTTTTAGTTCCTCAAGAAACTCAGTTTGTATCCAAGTCTGTATAAAGTAGACATCCTTCCATATTCAGATGAAGAAGGAACAAAGGAAAGCAGTTTTGTGCTTTCTAAGAATGGAACTGAAGAGCATCAGAGAAAATATAACAGAAAAAATGGCAGACGCCCAACTACTGAGCCCTAATTATATTCACAGTATTCCTTTACTGTGTCTAGGTATTTGCTAGTTTAGCTTAGCTCGTAGCTGGCTTGCTAGCAGCATGGCTTCTTCAACTGTTCTTCTTGCATCTTCCTGCTCAGTCTGTGAGATGTTTAGCTACTCTTTGGCCTCCTTGTACAATACGTGAATTAAATAAAGCCTGTTTACTGCTCTGAAAGTCAGGATCACTGAATTGGAAACCTGGCTCCGCACCCTTGAAAAAACCTATAGCCAATCTAACTTAAGGCCAGGAACAAACTCTGTTTATTGGCAATTCTATTCCAGGTGCCAGAGCAGGTGAGACTGAAGGAACCCTGAAGTTGCTGGCTAAATGTAAAGGTAGATTTTGTAAAATTAGAATTCATGTTAGCAGTAATGACACCTGGTTACATCAATCGTAGATCACTAAAACTAATATTAAATTGGTGTGTAACTTTGCTAAAACAATCTCAAACTATGTATTTTTCTCTGGTCCCCTCCCCAATCAGATCAGTTAAGGAGAACATGCAGCTAAACATGTCACATGTTTAGCTGCATGTTCTCCTTAACTGCTGTCTGTCTGAGTCGTTTCCAAGAAACAATTTGGGTTTTATAGGTAAGACCATTAGGTTCAACAGTATCCTTCCCACAGAGCAGCTCTAGGTTTCTCAAAATATGGCCAAATTTATTAAACCTGCCAAAACGTGACTATCCAGAATTGGGACCAGGAAGCAGACTTACAGTCTTACACATCTCTCTGCAGCTTCTCTTCTCCTGTCATCAAACAATTTAAGCATAAAAATATCACAAAGAAAGAACAAGAGAATATCCACAGCTGCGCCAAAGAGTAAAACAGTTGAATGTGGATTATTAAACATTAGGCCTCTCTCTTCTAACTCTTCTAAGCTTTTGACGGAGGGTTTGGAAAGCTTGAAAAGTCACTAAATATGGCACACACCTCCAATGTAGTGATGTGTCGATCACAAACGAAGTGGCTCTTGGAGCCGGATCTTTGACGTGAATGACATGAGCCGGCCCCTTATCGCGAGCCGTGGTTTTGTTTTTTGTTTTTTCTTTCTCACACTTTTTATCCGCTTCACTTCGCATGCAAGCCTTGTGCTTTACGCTGGGAGGAGGGGGGAGGGGCGGTAGTTACACTCAGTAGCACAGGAAAACAGCGGAAAAAAGCTGAAAATTTAAATAGTTAAAAGTTGAAATGTGAATAGTTGTTTTTTGTATTATATGATTTATTTATTACATTTTATGTGGAGTGAATAAATAAAAGTATATTTACGGTGGCCCCTACAGACAAAGCACGTACAAACTTCAAAACACATAAAAACTCCAAAACACGTAAAAACTCCGAAGCACGTAAAAACTCCAAAACACGTAAAAACTCCAAAACACGTAAAAACTCCGAAGCACATAAAAACTCAAAACACTTACAAAAGACAACAAAAGTGCTCCAGGATGCTAGGTGCAGTGTTGAGCTTTTGTTACCTAGTGGCTACACAAGCCAGCAAGTACCAACATTTGGTGTGTGGTAGTAACAGGTAAATGAACATTTTTTTTTATTATTTGAATATATATGAGTGATTGTGTATAAATACACAAACAATACACATATGCTTTCAATTGTGTAATTTAAGTGATCTAGGTAGCTCTGTTTTGGGAGTTCAGTTCATGCTAGAAATGTGTTTTGGAGTTTATATATAAACATATATAAATAAAACCACTTTTTTTTACATTAGTAATTCCTTTTGTGCATAATTTTATATTATTGTTAATAATAAATTAATTAAAGCAACAAAACAACCTGAAGAGTTTCAATCATTTGCCAAGAAGCACAAAACTGCTATAACTCAAAGACACATTGTCCAATCCCTCTCACACTTCACAGGCACTATGACAGTCGTGCCTCTACGGACTGGTGTGCCATTTGTCAGCAATGGTTAGAGCGCCACTTTGTGGAAAGAGGAAGTGTACAAAAAGCTAAAATCGTCATTGATCTAGATCAGTGGTCCCCAACCCCCGGGGACTCATGGACTCACGGACCGGAGTCGTTTGGTACCGGGCCGCGAGAGTTGAGGCTCAGGTGTGAAATGTATAGTTTTCAGGGTTTTTATCGGTTTTCAGCGTTATTTTGTTATCGTTTTTATCGTTTACTCGGTTTTCCTTGGTCTTTTCACTTGTGTTATGAATAAATTTTCTTTTTTTCGGTACCGGTACTAGTTTTATTTTGTTGTATTTATCCGCGACACCTTAAAGGCCAGTCCGTGAAAATATTGTCAGGCATAAACCGGTCTGTGGCGCAAAAAAGGTTGGGGACCGCTGATCTAGATGACATTTTGACTGGTGGTGCAATACATTATATGCTTGAGTGTGACATTAGATCGAACGGTAATCTCCATCGCCACCTGTTGGGCATGGCTGGGTGCGAGGGCCCTTCCAAAGCTGCTTGCAGCTTTAATTGGATTTAGGATTTTTGGCTTTTTCTCTGCTCATTTTTGTCTGGTTAGAGTATATATTTTAGAAGATTTCGATTTCCATTGTATCCTACTGGACTTGGCTTTCTCCTATTGGGTTATAGCAACACGGAAGAGATAAGGACAGCGGTGGCAAAGGTGTCCTCATATTCTCCAGTGTTTTTCTTCTCAAAGATTAGAACAAAATCAGCATTAGCTTAGAGTAGGTTAGTTAGATAAGTATCATTTAAGTGCCCACCCCCGCCCTGGCTGGGGTTCAGCTTCACAAACCTTATGAACCAGTCAGGCCCTGCCATCTGTTTCTCATCCCATGGTGTCTGATATTATCTGTTACTGCGACTTGATAAGCAAGCTTTCTGATGTCCTGATGCATGCTCAATCATCCAGGTAAGTAAATCCCCAAAAGTTGATTCTGTTCATCTGGACATAGCGATTTCAGTGGGAGAAAGGTTTTATCACTGATCCAAGTGACTTCATCAGTCTCAGCTGACTGCAGGTTTCCCCAGCCTTATACACAGTACCTTTGCACAATGACTGAAACTAGCACCACCGATGAACAATGGACTGTCAAGGTCAGTTTCTTGATCATTAATATGCAAATTGTCATGACCATTGATCAACAAGACCATTGATCAATGGCCATGAGTACCATTCACAGAGAGTTGAAGAATGGCTGCAAGCAAAGCATTGTGAGATGGTGACAGATGTATCCTTACGCCTCCCTTTTCACATAAATGGCCTCCTTGATTCCCTGCTCAAACCAGCGTTCTTCCCTGTCCATGATGTCTACATCCTCATTATTGAAAAAGTGTCCACTGGCCCACAAAAGTTTTGCGAGATCTCGCAAAACAAACTCGGGATCTCGCAAAACTTTTGCGAAATCTCGCAGAACAAACTCGGGATCTCGCAAAAGTCCGTCTTAATTTTTTTTTCTCTCATGTCCCCTGCGAGGCTCCGTACTATATAAATAAAGCTGAATTGAAATCAGTTCAATTGAATATAAAGTGGGACCCTTTATCCTTTCATAAACTTAAGAAGCTTTGTCTAAATAGTATGTGTTTCTCTCTGTAAGGATGTAATCTTTCCATTAATATGTCTCTCACCTTTTTGTTGTGTGCTTGCCAGCTTTTCTTGTTTCAACAGGAAGCCATATCCATCACTTCCCTTCACCAGATTCATGGTCTTAGCATTGTGGGGGAGGTTGAAGCTTTGTGCCACCACAGGCATGATGGGCATTTTCCTCCTGATATAGCATGACTCACTGTCACTGTCAATAACAAGCACTGTCACTGAATCCCCACTGTTCTTCACCTGAGGGCCAAACACACCAGACAGTAATGCACATTCAGTGTAACAGAGCACACACATCAATTCTGACTGAGAGAAGAGGATCCGTACAGTTCTGGTGAGAGCTGAGTATCTGAGAGTGGACACCATCAGTCCATTAATCCAGATCAGTCTGTCACCACTGAAGATACCCGCTTTTTCTGCTGGACCATCAATAACTGTTCTCACCATATATTGATTCTTTTCACCTGTTGACACATCCACAGTCTGTCCACAGTCAAAATCTACTCAATAATGCTTGATGAAAGAAAAAACAAAACTGTTGTATATTATAAGTAATCAGCAGAAATAATTAAATAGTTGCACATTTTGGGAACCATTAGATCACTTTTGTGATTTGATGGTTCTGGTCTATGTCCTAATGGTTAATACATAGACTAGAACCAGGGGAAACTGTTCATCTAAACTGAGTTTGAACTTTAGCACTGGAACTTCTTGGCTTTCTTGTAAAATAGTTAGAAGGTACAGTGACTTCAGGGGAGCTGTTTGTGAGTAGTTAGCACTTGTCACAGATAGTGACAGCAAAATAAATACCATCGACTGAGACAATAGTCATTCCTAGGCCATGCTTTGGGTGTTTTTGGATGTGACATAGCCTGGGTCGAGACCAGCGATCCCCTTTGGTGGCTTTGGCCAGGAATTTTAGGTCCACGCCCATAGACACTGCCTGGAAAAAGGAGAAAGGAGACATCTGCAAGATTCTGTGACCCGAAATATGTGGTTCTGGATTCATTCTTCCAGAATCCAAAATTCAGAACCCCCTCCCCGCAAAACATGACTTAGTACTTGTTGGTGGTGGTGGTGGTTGTAAACAGAGAAATAAAAACCCTTCAAAGATACATACCTGAGTTAAATAAAATGGCGTCAGTGGCTTGCTAGCCTCACGTTAACCATAACCATTGTTATCTAAACAACATGTAACTGTGCAATGGTGGGACCACTGTTTCAATTTGTGTTTGTTTTGTTTTTTTATGTTATCCTTCATTGTTAAGCACCTTGTAAAATTTCTTCTGATAACAGAGCTATAACCCCAATGGAATAGCCAGGAATCAAATCTCCAATCTTCCAATTGGTAGAGGACTAATTGTTACCTCCTGAGCTAAGCTGCCAGAGATGAAATGTTGAAAAATTGGGAGGGGAGGGGGGCTAAAGTAAAATATAGGACTAAAATATAGATTTTCGGAAGCCTCAACCTGTAGTTGATAGTAAATATGACATGTGAGCCAAGAAGCGCTCACCCTTTATTTCTTTTCTGAGGCCGTCTCTCTCAAAAAAAATAAAAGAAATTGCCTTTGTGCAAAGGTTTTAAAAAAAATCATACACTTATACACACATCTGCAATGTTAACTTTAATTCCTCAGCAATCAACAACTATTTCTGGAGAGGTTGGAAAGTTCCTCATCGTCATTATTGTCAGTATGTGTAGTAGCATTAGAACATGAGATTGTTGCTGGCTGTCACTGTTTTAAGAATAGCTGCATTTAGTCTTGATCTAAATGATGCTAATCACTGAGCATTATCATCACTGGTTACCAATAAGACATCAGATTTGAATAAAACATAGTTGTGTGAAAGATCAGTTCTCATACCCATTCATACTCTTCCCTCTTCAGCACCAGAAGAAATAGGTGTAAGCCACATGACTGGATCTGTCTCACAACCTGTTAGATAATTGCAGAGAGATAATCATAGACACATGATAAACTTACTCTTTCATCCATTAAAACAGTTTAAGCCTGTCCTAATAATGTTTTTGTCAATTATTCCATTTTACTTCAGACTGAATTTCAAGAGTTTCCATGAAATCAGTTTTCCCACAAAAAGCACAGAAGACTGGAAGGCCCCAAATGGTTAGCATGAACCTTTTCAACTAAAATTCATTCTCTGTTAAACTTTATGAAGTCGTAAACTTACCAGGCATTTAATTAATTACATCTTACTAGTAGTAGGTTGGACTGCTAATTCCCCCAATCAGTCATGGCATAGATTCAAGAAGATCCTAAAAAACATTCTTCAGAGACTTTGAAACATATTGGAATGAATTCAGTTCAATTTAGTTTTATTTATACAGCGCCAAATCACAGCAACAGTTGCCTCAAGGTGCTTAATATTGTAAGGTAGACCCTACAATAATACATAAAGAGAAAAACCCAACAATCATATGACACCTTATGAGCAAGCACTTTGGTGGCAGTGTGAAGGAAAAACTCCCTTTTAAGAAGGAAGAAACCTCCAGTAGAACCAGGCTTAGAGAGGGGTGGCCATCACCCAACCGGTGAGAGAAGGAAGAAAGGATAGAAGACATGCTGTGGAAGACAGCCAGAGATTAATAACCTTGTGTTGCTATAACTCAGGGGGTGGAGCAGGGTATCACCTAATTGGAAACTTGTTGGTTCAATTATTCGCTCCACCTGTGTCCAAAGTATCCTTGGGCACTGAACCCCTGGTTGCTCTCCGATGCAATCATCGGAATGTGAATGCTAGATACTTTAAAAAGCACTTAGGTAGAAAGAGAAAAAAAACTGCATGAGCTGTGGGGCATGTTTTATACACATATCTATCTACACATATCACTTATACCTAAGTGGTTTCTAAAGTATCTAGCATTCACATTCCCTTTACATCCACTCCCCAAAGCTTCTCAATTGGATTTAGATCAGGGGAACATGCAAGATGGTCCAAAAGAGTGATGGTATTCTACTGGAAGAAGTCCCTTGTCCTGCGGGCATTGTGTACTGTATCATTGTCCTGTTGAAAAGCCCAGTTGTTACCACACAGATGAGAGCCCTCAGTCATGAGGGATGTTCTCTTCAACATCTGGACATAGCCAGCAGCTGTTTGACGCCCCTGCACCTCCTGAAGCTCCATTGTTCCACTGAAGGAAAAAAGCACCCCAGACCATTATGCTGCCCCCTCCACTGTGGTGCATAGAAAACATCTCTATCTGTTTGTCATGCCAGTAAACGACAGGACCATCAAGGTAAAAATTTTTCTCATCAGAGAATGAAACTTTCTTCCACCTTTTAATGTACCATGTTTGGTGTAAAGTCCAAACGGTCAGTTCTGTGTCGTTCAAGGAGACAAGGCCTTTGAAGACGTTTTTTGTTTTTGAAGCCTTTCAGTCTCAGATGCCGTCTGATGGTTATGAGGCTGCAGTCGGCACCAGTACCAGCCTTAATTTGGGTCCAGGTCCAGTGTCTTGACAGACAGCCAATTGGATCCTCCAGCTCAGTGCTGGTGAAATCTTCTACTTGACTTTTTTGTTCCATAACCCTCAGGATCATTTAAGAAATTCCAAACGACTGTCTTACAGCGTCCCACCTAAGCAGCGATGATGCACTGTAAGACACCCTGCTTCTGCAGTTCGACAACCCGGCCACGTTCAAAAAGGGAACGTTTTTTTTTTTTGCTTTTGCCATTGGAACGTCCTGACAGTGTGACTACCGGAAAATGTGACAATGAATCCACATTTTTGCACAGAATTGGCCTTTTAAAGGCATGTGGTCCTAAACTTTTGATCAGCTGTAAAACAGCCTGTTTCAATTTAATTCTTGTTTTCAATATATTGCATGGTCAAAAAATGTTTCTTCTTGTTGCATGCTGAAGCTAAACTTGGAACCTTGTTAAGATCCAACCTTGCAAAATAAGATTTTTTGCCATTTTTCAAGTGGTCTTAAACTTTTGATTGGGATTAACTAATACTGACCTCTTACATACCCATATGGAAAAGATATATATACATCTTATAAAGTTTGTGTCTGTCTTGTGTAAAACTTATATGAAAAGCATACAAGAGTGAAAACAGAGTGAAACTTGTATGTTTTGGATACTTACTAAAACAATATATGAAAGTAATGAGAAAGTGGCCACTTTCATGAGTAAATCATATAAGCCTTATATGATTCACTATATGAAGTAGGCCACATCTTATGCAAGTCTTTTATAAGTTTTTACTATTTCTTTTCCATGTGGGATAGTATGTGACAATGTCAAACAATGTCAAATAATATAGAATTTATCACATTCTAAAGGATGGAAAGTCAAGAAAAAAATGTAATTGCAGTACAGTAAGTATGCACTGTAAGAAAGGGGTGGCTGTAGCTCAGGAGGTAGAGCAGGTCACCTACTGATCGGAAGGTTGGAGGTTCGATCCCAGGCTCCTCCAGTCTGCATGCCAAGTATCCTTGGGCAAGATACTAACCCCAAGTTGCTCTCCGATGCGTCCATCGGAGTATGAATGTGTGTGAATGTAGTTAGAATAGCACTAAGTATAGATAAAGTGCTTGTGAGAATGGGTGTGACTGGGTGAATGTGGCATGTTGTATAGAGCGCTTTGAGTACTCCGGGAGAGTAGAAAAGCGCTATATAAGAATCAGTCCATTTACCATTTACAAGCTGTTTTGCAGAATGTCTGTTGTTTTAAAAAATGCAACACACAACGCAAAAACCTTTCAAAAGCCTTTCTCAGCTGGTACGAGGCAAGGAGGTCGTCAATACTCAGGTTTCACATCTAAACAGTTGGACAATTCAGAATCACTAACGATACTAAAATCCATGCCTTTGGCAAAAGGAGAGCATGCTAACTCTACAGAAGGCCCCTAGGAGGCTACAAACACGTGCTTGCTGTGAGCAAACACTGCTTGCTTTGAGTAACACCACTAACCACCATTGTACCCACTATCATATTGCACAAATTCTAGATACTAACCCTGCTAAAATCCATGTTGACCACATATTCCTCATTCACCTCCAGTACTCGATCTCCATCCTTGAGGCCACTGTGCTCTGCAGGACTCCATGGATCCAGATCTGTGATCTCAAAACCCTGGCTGTACATACACAGATGAAAGCCAAAGCTTTGGCCCTCTGAACGCTTCAGGTGGCACAGTCTCGGCACCACGCTTGGATCTGGCTTTGCAAACACAGGAAAAAAAATCAACAACTAGTAGGAAGCGGGAGGGTATTATGAAATGTTTTGTCTGTAAAGATGTGTACATCTCACCAGGATCATCAGTCATGACCAGAGCTGGGTTGTCAATCCCTTCCTTTGGATTAAAGGTAAAACTGATGTAAGGAGATATTAGAGTCAATTTAAAACTCCAATTTTAAAAGCATACAATACAGTTTCATATAAAAAAAACTAGCACAGAGAAGGCCTGTTTACAGCAGAACATGCTCTCATTGTACAGATATTTTACAGAAGGTATTTTCTTATGTTGACTATTTAACACAAGAAACACATCTAGTTACACTGATTAACAACAAGATTTATTACGTATAATATTACTGTTCACTCCCAATTATAATATTGCTATACCAAATTGGACAATTCTGCATTGAAGTCCAATAGTGTCACCCATTGCAATGGTTAATGGACTGGTTCTTATATACAGCTATTCTAATCTACCTGAGCAGTCAAAGAGCTTTATACAACTTGCCTCATTCACCCAAACAGTTTATTATGCTTTTCCTACATAAGTGTTTTCTATCTAACATTCACACACTTGCATGGGAGAACAACTTGGAGCTAGTGTAGCAACCCAGTGATATTTAGCATGCTGGAGCAGCCAGGGATCAAACCATCAACCTTCTGATCAGTAGATGACTTGCTCTATCTCCTGAGCTACAGCCACCCTTCACAGTAATTCTTTATATAGAGAAAGTGAAAAGTGAATCTTTGGGCTCCTCAGAGGAACAAAACAAAATCACTTCAATTGATTTCAATTCCATTTTGTTTGTGTTTCTCCAAATCACAACAACAACCACCTAAAGGTGCTTGAACCCAGTAGACAAAGGTATCCTTTGAATATAGGTTACCACTCCTGGACTGTGCTGAGGAGAACCCCAGCCTCAGCATTCAAGTTTACCAAAAACCCACAGACACAGCTCAGTAGTCTTTGACTCACACCAAACACTACAACACAAACTTGGGGTGGTCAGGACTCTAACGCACCAACAGAAAACATTCCCTCAAAGGCAGAAGAAATAAATGAGGAAAGCACTTAATACATGGCACAAGACAAAACTCAGCTGAAAGGAGAAAGGCCAATCCTTTGAGGATGCCAGTGTTTATATTTTGAACACTGATGGTTTGAAAGCGGTAAAGTAAAGGAGTCTATCTATGTCCATGATGAATGACCAACATCGAACACAGGTGGTGGCTTACAACACTAGCTGTCAGCCAACTACAATGTTATCTTGACATCACTGCCCTGTCATTTCAATCCACACCTTACCTCACGTGATCTTGATGGCTCACATAATGGGGGACTGGGGCAATGTTTCACAGATGGTAATCCATGATTTATTTTACACACTGGCTCATGTGATAATTTGCATATTAACCCCCAGAACCACCTCCAATGAGACATCTCCCAATGGAGCTTAAATACATGGGACTATTCATCAGTTGTTTTGTGAGTAGAGATGGTTCTGATGAAATATCTTGAAAATGTTTTTAGACATTTTAGGGTAAGACTGAGGATGATATGAAAAAATCTGAAATGTTTAAGTTTTATTACGCACTCACACACATTAACTCTACATGACGGTAAAATTAAAATAAAATATTACCTTTGGTTATTACTGCGTTAAGTACTGTGTTTAATAATGGACTGTTGAGGTTTAACAGCAGCAACATTATTTATTCCAAATTTTATTTTAGTGTTACTGTCCATTGACTTGTGGAGAGAGATAGAAACACATTGTTACTAAATAATCATATAAGCTCCAGAAGGTGTCCGCCCTGTTACTCTTATAGTATAATACTCATAGTAAAATTACAGTAATGGTAACTCTTTGAACCCATAACAGCATGTTAAGAAGTAATGGCAAAAAAGGAATTTTGCAAAAACGTATCTGAGGAGAACTCACTCGCTCACATTCACTTTTTTTTAGTTTAACAACTCTTGCCTCCACTAACATAGGAGGGGCCAGCCAGATACCAGTGGGGGATAGAGATGTTTTGGCTTCACTTGGCTCAGGATGTAGAGCGTCTACTAGCTGGAAGGTTAGTGCTTCAATCCCTGGCTGCTCAATTCACACGTTAGGCAGAAGAAGCATAGAAAAAGTCCTCAGGTGTTGTATAAAAACGAGTCCGAGTACTGCTATTCAAGAGACAGTCTATTTATCATTACCATTTGACAATCTTTAGTCTCAGCAGGTGGACTGGTATTTATTTAGAGACAAATAGACAAATTTATTTAATTGCTGCATGATATTAAGGGTTTTCTGAATTGCAACAAGCAATCAAGTTGGAGACAAAAATCAGAAATAATGTATTTATTTAAACACAACCTACAACAACATTTTTTTAAAAAAAAGGCCGCTTATGTTCATCGCAAGGCATAAAAGATTCTAGTGGGTCAAAAGGAGAACTTACTGTGGATTTCTGTGCATTCTGGCCACCTGAAGGAGAAACAGTGACACAACATGTAGATACATCTGTCTTAGTTTGTGGATATAATTAATTCTCATTATATTATTCACTTTTCAGGACAACCATGGCAAGCAGTACTTATCTTGTCATATCTAAAAACAGACATAAATAAAGACTTACCAAAGTCCCTCCTTTCATATCATACATTGCATTACATTACATTACCGCCATCCTGTGGTCGCACTTTGCTATTGTTGCTGTTTCAATCTGACTAGTGACTCTAGCTCTGTTATTTGAGTGTGCCTGTCACCTGTTAACATTGACTGGAGCTGATTAAGCTGAAGGGCCAGCTGCTTTGTTTCTGGTGGTTTCAATATGTGCATTGTGAAAACCTCTGTCCTTTCACAGTAAACTGGTAGAAGTTGGTTTCAGTTGGTTGGTAAAAGTAGAAAGGGAGGCAGACGCTTCAGCTTTCAGGCCCCTCTTCTGTGGAACCAGCTCCCAGTTTGGTTTCAGGAGGCAGACACCCTCTCTACTTTGATGATTAGACTTAAAACTTATGACAAAGCTTTGATACTGATAAATATAGTTTATCAATATTTGATGTTGATAAATAGAGTTCCCATTTTTGCTTGCTCATTGGGGTCATCTGATTGCTAAAAAAATCTCTCTATTAGTGTAAAACTTGAATTGAATTGAATTAAATCACAAAAAGAAAAAGAAAAAACACTCAGGCACTGGGAGAGCATGTAGTGCCACTCAAAAAAGAAAAAAGAAAAGAAAAAAAGCCCCAACTAAGAACCTTCAAGCAGCAGCACTAACCACTCCACCACCATGGCTATTCTGGCTGTATGAGGTGGCCAAACAAGGCCACACATTATATTATATATGGTTTATTTTTTTCATCTATCACCTGCTATAGAAAGGATAACACAACTTAACTCAACTTAACTCTTTTTTTTATCACTAATAAAAACCCATCATCAATCATTATAAAGTTAGATTCATGATAATTAGTGAATACGATTTTTGTCTACCCTCTCCTGTCTGCCTGTTTTGACATGTACATGCTGTACTTGTTTTGCCACTGCATAGCTGGAAAACTGCATAGTTTCAACTGCATAGTAGCAAAACTTAATTCAAAAAGGAAAAAATGCAATATATGTCAGTTGTGTCCGTTGCATTGTGGCATATGAAAGCATAATAAACAATTTTTTAATAAAAATGCAAGTTATTTCTCACATAAACATTGATTAAGCCAGTCACTGATTCTGGATATAGCATAAAGCGTGAAGGACGGAATGTTGCTTGAACCCTTAAAACATTAACTTTTGTAATGTGCAAATGAGTACATTCTCATTCTCCGTTCTCTTTAATGCAATTCATTCATTATGTTTAAAGAAAGGGTAGTGGAAATGACCTCCCAGAAACATGGTCTTTTGTGTCAATATTTCACAATACTCTTCAAATCCAACTTTGTGTGTGTAGTTGTGTGCACACACATGCGTGTGTGTGTGTGCTCACACACAAAAATATCCTGCCTGTGGATTTATTTTTTCAAATAGTGAAAGGCAATGTTTAACCAGGAAGAACATAGCTGAAGTTAGTGTGTGGTTTTATATTGACAGCAATATATACCATAGCATTTTGTAAAACACAATCCACCACAATGATAATTATGCATAAAACACTTACCATAAAAAACAAAACAAAAGTAAACTGGCTTACCATCACTGCTATGACATTTCACACAGAGGAATTATGCCGTAACTAAGGAGTGCATGTGTACACATTTGAATATTCAAATCACGAACAGTCATATGTTTGAGAAGCAGAAAATAAACCCTACCTTTTAAGGACCTCATGAAGTTCTGTGTGCTTGGCATTTATATCTGCTCAGACTAAGGCACTGTGGACGGACAAGGTTCACAACAGACAGATAATAAAAACCTAAGATACTGACTGCTTTTTGCTTAGCCATGATGGTTAAACATTTACTCCATGACACGCCTCAAGAGGTCTGTGTGCAGAGTGTGATACATTGCAATGGAAAAGACAACATAATGCACCTTTACCACTCTATGGCACTGCTGTTCACTGTGGAGGACCAAATAAATAAATAACTCAAACCAAATAAATAAATTTGATTATTCCAAAGCAATACATCCTGCAACATGTTTTCAAATAAATTCTTGATTATCATTATATTTTATTATATAT